TGCAGGGGGCGCAGAAGCGAGGGCAGAAGGCCCAGGCCCGCGCGGGGCCCGGCCTTCCCCGGGCCCAGCGTCCGCGCGAGGATGCCGAAGGGGCCGGCCATGGGGTAGGGGCCCGTGGCGCTGAGCAGCAGGGCGGCGAAGACCCCCAGAAGAAGGGCGCTTCCCCACATCTCGCTCGACAGCAGGAGGTCCTTGGGGAAGGAGTAGCCCGGGTGGTCTTTCTCCTGCAGGAAGGGCGTCGTGAGGGCCGCCGAGGGGTCCTCCTTGGGCCGCGTCACCGCGATCATCTTGCGCGCCTTCAGCGTCAGCGCGTCCAGCTTGGCCTTGCAGGTCTCGAATAGGGTGGGGGTTTTGGCCATTTTGTTTTGGGGGAGGTCAATGGGGTGTGGTATTGGATTATAGATATATAGATATGCTGCCAATTGGGCTCGGAACTAGATAGTTGCGGTAGATGTTTAATCCTATCCGTTGGAAAGAAAAGATGGAAAATCGTATAGGGGGGGGGGTAAGGGTGTTTTTTTTTTTACATTTAGGTATCAACGAGATTTCATTACCACTACTAATGCATAACGAAAACATAAGTAGAGGAAAGAGACAATAGAACCGTGAGGGATTGCTGCTGTGAAATCCTTGTTCCATGGGGATCATCTTGGGGTAGACATTATCATCACTTTCTCATCAGTGCTGCATATATGTATGTATGTGTATGGATTTTTACCATCAACTAACCAGCGCTACCATATTGGGATGGCAGTGCCCTTAGGTTTATACAGAACAAAGAACGACATCCACTCATGACATTCCACCAGCGTACCGTTTATGTGAGTAAGAGGAAATATAAAATACTGTGAATAAGAGGATACCGCGCAAGATCGTTAAGAGGCTTGATTTCCCTCTTTTTTTAGAGGAGGAGGTATAGTAGGCATGGACTGCCTACATCATCGCGTCGGACCCTTCACTAGACCCTGCATCCTCCGAGCCCGTTTCCCCATCCTTTTCCGGCGCGTCCTCGACCTTCCTTCGCTGCGCTCGCGCCTTATTTTTTCGATCCCGTTTTCTTTTTTTTCGTCTGCCGCTCCGCGAGCTTTTCAACTTTGGCGTCGTGAGCCGCCTTCACTTCCTGCGCGGTGGCTGCTGCCGTGGCTGCCGCGTGAAGTCGGGCCTGCCGCTCGGCCTCGATCTCCTCGGCGATTCGGGCCTGTTCGTTTGTTTTTCCCCCGGCCCCCGCGATGGTGGAGCGAAGTCGGGGTAGATTTCGCATGGTCGCGATGGATTTGATGTAAGCCGCGTGATCCGCCCGAAGCCTCGCCGCGCGCGCGGCATTTTCCTCTTCTGTGAGCACCGGAGGCTTCACCGGTGGCGTCCCGGAGACCCCTCTCGTCACTGGCATTTTTATTTATAATATATATATATATATATGTGTGTGTGTGTATGTGTGTGAGGAAGTAACCAAATTGTACCCTATTCTTTCTTCCCTTTTCCCCAAGTTTGGGGGCTTTGCGTCGGCTTTAGATTGACGCCGATTTGAGGGCAAACTGGGACAAAGGAAAAAAAACATCAAAAACAAAAAAAATCACGAACTAGTTGTTCACAAGAGAGAATCCTTCTCTTCTCCACTTTTATTTTACATCTTCCCTCCCATTGGTTTAAGCTGTGCTGGCGTCAACGCATTGGTGTTGATTGAATGAGCACTAAACATCCCATGTAAAATTGGCTATAATGCCAAAAGGCATCAGAAAGGTATTACATCCGCACACACAAAGTGAATCCCTTTGATTTAAGTCATGGATTGATCTTTTCTACTTTCATGAATACAAACACGTCCTTATTTAATCTACTGGAAGGATCTGATGTGTATGTGTAGAAAACCCAACTTTCTGTTTTACAAATTACAGAATATCGCACAAGGAGGGAAAACGATGGTGTAAGCAAAGATAGACTAACCAATAAGGCAGCAAAACCCCTTTCTCTATATTTTTTAAAGGAGCCAAAGTTAAACCCATGAGATCGATTGCATAGTCTATTTAGTTGAAATTGCGCATGGCAAGCTATTCTAGTAGATCGTAGGTATGGGCACCCCTGCCTCTCCGGATTCGCATTTGGTTTTGCGAAGTATGGATCGCACCTTTGTGCAGCTGAAACTCACCACCATGTTTTGGCTACTACTTCTTCGTTGTCCGTTATTATATTTTCTTGCGCGTCTTCTCAGACTTTAAATGTTTGTTCTCATTTCCTTGTTCGCTTTGAGAGGCCATGGAGGCGGCCTTGCGCCCAACCCTCTCCTCTTTCCACTTGCCCACGCCGGGGAGTGATTTTTTTGCTTCCCCCTCGTCGAGGCCGCCGGCGGAGAATGCACGTGGAAGGACAAATTCATTGGGTATTGGAGTTCGCACTCCACGTCGTTTTTTTTGTCGAGTCGTGGTTTGAGAAGGACCGGCCGAGAGGTGGGTCCCACGGCTCCGCTTTTCGTTATGTACGCGCGCGCCGGACGGCTTTTGCGGGGCTTCCGGCGTCCGCCGAGGCCCCTCTCTGCCGCCGCCCTCCTCCTTTTCCGCCTTTTTGGCACCCAAACAGAATCGCCCCTCCCGAGGGGTCGACCTCGGCGTTGGGAAGGGTTCGGTCTTTTCCTCCGCGTGGTTTGCGGTCCGTTCCCACACCGCGGGCCGACTGAGGGCCCCTACGCGCTGGGGGAGGTCAAACTCCC